TTCATATCAATGAATACAAATTTTATGAAAAGCATATAGATATTAGTCACAAAGGTACCTGAATTATGAAAAAGAAAATTAAAAAATCCAAATTCTTAAAAAATAATCATGAACAACAACAACAACGATCCAGTATAGTCCCACAAGTGGGGACTGGGAAGGGTAGTGTGTACGCAAACCTTATCACTAATCATATTTATCTAATTCAATAAAAGAAGATCTCTACTCTACAAATACCTATATTAATAAAATTTTCATTGGGGGATAGATTTAGGTTGTCACCCCATCCTTTCTAGGTAGATTCGATCATTATCATGATAATGAAATTATACATGCTAATATATATGGTTACTTCCTTTAGCTTAATACTAATGAGTTAATACCAGTTAGTCACATATCCCTAACTTGATATTTATTTGCGACTACATGCTATATTTATCCGCTAGATAGATTTATCGATACTACGAGAAACTACAAAAATCTACGACAACACTTTCTGGATATGTTTTATTAATATTTTTAAAACAAAATAGCTTATAACAGCTAACATTTTCGAACATTACCAACCTTAAATCTTATTTTAACAATCTGAAAATAATGATGGGCTGCTGAGTATGATTTCACTACGATTTGCTTTAAGTTTTCATCTCGTGATATTTTGAAGTGAAAGACTTCTAATGTCACCGAGATTAGTATTGTTCCAATAAAAATAATAATTATTTCTAAAATTTTGAATCTTGTGAAATTTAACATACTCAACTCATATAAGTAATCTTAATATGGTTATATTCCTAAATATTAGGAGTTCCTATATAGTTCAAATAGAAAAGATTTAATAGTCAGAATTTTAGTTAATTTCAACGTCATAAATATTAGAAAGTATTAATTAAATGATTATTTTTTCGATTATAAATTTATTTTTAAAAAATAAAAAGGCCGATCAATTTCGCGTTGAAATTTCACGCTTTTGTAATAGTCAAGATTGATTGAAGCAGAAAAAATAATAATTAAAAAGTGAAATAATATCTTCTTATATATTTAATAGTTTTTAATTAGTCTCACACTATTTATCACATAATTAGAATAAATTAATATAAGTTTTTGCAAGTACGAAATGAAGTAAAATTATTCTTCGATAAAAAAAATTCATTGATGTTGAAAAATTATAAAGTTCATCATGAATACAATTAGAGTATCATTAAGATGTCACGTAATTGCCGAAACTACTTCAAAAGAACGTCTCCTACTTTTTTACTAACATTCCAAATAATTGACTTTTTAAATATTTATTTAAGGTAGAAGTTTAATCAATTCTACAGTCCAAAATTTTAGGCACATAATTTAAATAAGGAAAGATTTGATAACTATATTTCAACAAATTTTCAAGTCCTAAATATTAGGAAAATAAATAAATGACTGTTTTATCTAGTGTGAACTCTATTTTTAAAGGGTAAAAAAGACGAACGACATTTCGCTAAGGGGCTTCGTGCTTTTAATATAGTATAGATAGATATAGATATAGATATAGATAGATAGATAGATAGATAGATAGATAGATACTTTTTAATTTGTCTATTCAACAATACCTAATTAGAGAAAGTATTTTTGCAAATTTTTCTTAAACCAATATTTACTACTAGTTTTTGGACACGTTGTTGTATGTGTATGCCATATATTGCATATATACAATCAAACCGTTTTACCTAACAATATCGTTTGTTTTAATATTTTTTTTAGAATGACTATTATACACTATAAGGGAATTTGACATTTAAATATTATTTTGTTGCTATAGATAAACATTATCTAAAAATATTTTTTATTTCTAATTACATATAAAAACTAAAAAATTATTTAAACTTAAAATCTCAAAAGACATGTGAACTAGAGAAAGCTATTATATTCATGCTTGGAGTTAAATCATAGAGGTTTGTCGTTGCTAGTAGATAGTTTAGATTGCTAAATTTATTTGATTAACTAATGCATTATAAATAAATTCATCGAAAATTTTGTCCAATGAAAAAGAAATGCATGACTTTCTTCTTGAGGATGTGATTATCTCCACCATCTGACGAATTTGTGAAAATATTCACCCTAACAAATCAAATATTTTGATGTACCTACTCATTTACAGGGAAAAAGGGAGACTCACAAAACAGATGGAAGATAAACAAACAAGAAATTAAAGGCCGAATAATTAAGATAATTAAACTTATAAAACTGATGGAATAAAGGTAATGATCCGTGGAAGATAGAGATACACATAATCGTGGTTGAAAAATTAAGATAATCAAACTTAGAAAACTGATGGAGAAAAAGTAATAAAGTAATCATTTTTTGGCTCAAGGATAAAATGGTCATGTAGCTTTAAATTTTAAAATATCCTTTAAAGTTTAAAGGAAAAATTCATAAGTACCCTCTTGACCTATAGCCGAATTTTCAATGGGACAATTTCATATTAGAACAACTGGGCTCCCTACTTTTCAATTTTATAGCCCATATTTTAATTTACAATCAACTAGCCCAAAAATAATAGGCTAAGATTCAACATCCAACTCCAATAGATTCTCAAAATTACTATTTAATTTTTAAAAAAGATTCCTCAAGCTTTTAAATTTATTTTCGAATCAGTAACTAACTGTGACTCAAATATTAATTCAACAAACCAAATTCATTTCGGTGGTGAAAATTAGATTTTTAACAAGCTTAAATATGTGGGTTTAAATTCCGAATTTGATTTTGTGAGAAATTTGGAGTGGGTGTTATTTAGACTTGTTAGAAATAGTATAAGGAGGTTGTATATAAAATTTGAAGTCATTTAATGGAGATTTGGACTGGTTTTGAACAAGAATTGCAACTGAAAATCGTGGAAGAAGTTCGTCTACAGACGCTTGTATAAAGGTGTATAAAAGTGTATAATAGTATATAAGCTGTGTTTCTACACTAATATACACTATTATACAAGATTATACATAATTATACAAAAAACTGACTTCGTCTTCTTCCTTGCGTCTTTTCTGAAATTTAACTCAAATCTTGCTCAAATCTACTCCAAATCACTTCAAATTTAAATTTTGAACTCCTATTGATATTTTCAATCAATTGGAACAACACCCAATCCAAACAACTAACAAATTCAAAAAGACCATTTTCAAAACAAAGCTTTGAATGGTCTCCAATGGTGGACTTCTACTCTTCAATTTTCTTACATTGCAAGCAGGTCCCTTGAAACATATGTAGAAGATGTGAGAAGAAGAGAGAGTGAAAGCAATGGTTGTGAGAACATAGATTTAACTCCATAACTTTTAGAAGCAATGGTTGTAAGAACACAAATTTTGAATTTGCTAGTGTTTTCAAAAGCACAATATTCCAACTAAATCAATAAAATAGACGAAGGAGTAATAACAATTGACACTCTAATTTAAGCAATTGTAATTGAAAAACGCGAGCAGCAAAGAAGAAGCATTTAGAAGACCTCTTCCTGGAGAGGATATGTAACCACTACATAGATATGGAAAGGTCATAATGTCTAAGTAATTAAACTACCTATTCTAAGTTTTAAATATGTATAACGTGGCTAGGGTAGGGGTAAAACTTAAAATAGTGGCCTATTTTTGTTATGGTGTGAAGTCATGTGTTATTTTCTTGTAATTCTTTCTATTTACTAATTACACACTATTATTCTTGGTCGGGTTCTATTACTACCACCACACCCCCCCCCCTCCCCGAACTATTTTTAAATAGAATTAGTATCACCCTGAAATGCCACTACCACAACTTTATTTGGTGGTGAAATACATGCGTCTAACATATGTATTTCCCACTAAAATTGTTTTTCTTATTTTTTTCTCCATCTACTTCTTTTCCCAACTCACTTTTTGTATTTCTAAAAATTCTTTTTCCCTTTTTGCACATCCCAGCCTCTTTCATCCCCCAACCCACAAGTGAAGCAGCAAAATTTTTTTGGTGAAAACGCAGATCGAAAAACGGTGAGCTTCTAGAAAATTTTTTGGCTGTAATAAATCAACAACCCAATTCTTCTTCCTTGATCTCGTTTATGTAAATTTAATTAATTAAAAAAAAGGACTCCCCGCCCCCACGTCACTACATGAAGCAGTGAAAGGCTGAAGGCCTCAACCGGAAAACAGTGACCATGGCGAGAATATTTTTTGCAGCTAACAATCTAAACCCTTCTTCTTGTTCAGTCTTTTTTGGGCTTCTTCTGGGTTTAATCGGAAAATTAATCTTGGGACGAGATTTTTTTAATTTCTTTTTATGAGAAGCAATTGCAATTAAAAGTTCAAAAATGGTAAGTAAGGAGATTAGAAGTAACAGTAATCCTCTATAAAGTATAGTGAAATATGGTGAGGAAGGAATAACATCTTCAACTGGAGAATGCCAGAGCTAATTTTTAGCCAATCTATAAGTAACAAAATTAGAGGAAAGAAAAGGAAAAGAAAAAGAAAGTCAAGAGAAAAAAAAAAACAGAAAAATAGAATATTTTATAAAAATAAAATTTCAGCATTCCCTCTCTTTCTCACTCTCCTAAGGAGGGTGACATACACTCTCTTCTACCGTATCAGCACTAAGGGTATACTAATTCCTTTCAAAAATAGTTCAGGGGGTAATAGAATCCCTACAAAGATAAAGTGTGTAATTGAAAATCCGGTTATAGGTCAGGGGTACTTATGTATTTTGCCAACTTTAAAAGGTTATTTTAGTATATTAAGTTTGAAGGAGGGATGTTCTCGCTTTTAGTATAGTATGATATGATGATTAAGTCTGAAGGAAGGACGTTCCCGCTTTTAGTATAGTATAATATAATGAATATGATGATGCCGATTTTAGTAAATTAAGTTTGAAAGAAGGATGTTCCACTTTTAGTTTAGTAGGATGATATGATATGATGATGATTCAATAGGCCACCTTCTTCTATACTTGCGGCTATATAATAACTCCTTAGCTTTCAAAATTTAGTAACATTATAACTTAGGCTTAGGAAGTGGACACAAGAAGAAATCTCAAGGCTTTTTCATAAATAGATCTAACTAAACATCAGTATAAGGAAAAAAAAAGAGCTAGAATTTCTTGCATTTTGATTGAGTAGTTATTGGTTCAAAATGGAGCCAGAAAATATAAGTGATATAAGAGGGAGTAGTTTAAGAGGAAGCTTAAAGTTAAGTGTGAATAGTACTAAATCTATATGGGGGAACAATGGTATGGAGATTTTTAGTCGTTCATCAAGACATGAAGATGATGAAGAGGCTCTTAAATGGGCAGCTCTTGAAAAACTTCCAACATTTGATCGTTTAAGAAAAGGTCTCTTATTTGGATCTCAAGGTGCTGCTGCTGAAGTTGATATACATGATCTTGGTTTTCAAGAAAGAAGGAAATTGCTTGAAAGGCTCGTGAAAATCGCCGATGAGGATAATGAGAAGTTCTTGTTGAAACTCAGGCAAAGAATTGACACGTAAGTGAATGCATTTTTTTGTCTCTCCTCTCCATGCATGTTGTCTTCCACGGACAAAAAAAGATATGTGTAGACGATACATGTTAATATTTGGATGTTTACTTTAGGTTTAATGTATGTTAGGAGTCTTCACGACTTGTTATAACTTTGTATGCTATTAGAAATCAAAGGAACTTGTAGTGCTAGAGAAATTATTTTTTATAATATTTGATTGAGACGGACTTAAATGGAGCGGCATGGACAATGATGATTCATGTAATCATCAGACTTGCTTAGAATTAAGACATAGTATTATTCACAGTTAATACCCTAAATCCTCGTAAACTATTATGTTTTTATCAGTTTCCTGCTGAAATTATTCGATGTCCCCAAAATCCCCCCTGAAACTATATTGTCTTTCATATTAAACCCCCTGTTTGCATTCTTAGAGGTGCGTCTAGTACATGCTCCTAATTATCTAAAAAAATATGTCATGTGACACTACACATGGCTATTTAATTCAGCCTACCCCCCCACCCCCCTCTCAAACTATCATTTTTTGTGAGTTACCTACTTAAACTATCTGGTGTCCCCAAAATCTCTCTAAACTATATTCTCCTGTATATTAAAACCCCATATTGAATTCTTAGAGGTGTGTCTGTTACCTACTTAAACTATCTGGTGTCCCCAAAATCTCTCTAAACTATATGCTCATGTATATTAAAACCCCATATTGAATTCTTAGAGGTGTGTCTGTCTAACTATATTAACTTATGCTTTGTACTAAGTTTTTTATGTAGTTTACTACTCATGATGTATTACTCTCGGATGATTGATTAATTCTAGGATATTTGGCCAAACTAGTATCTAATGTAATGTATTAATTTCATGTCTAATTGTAGTTGTGCTTTATGCTAGACTCCAATTGAATAAGCTTTTGTTTATATTCATTTTGAAGTACAATAAAAAAATCAATGAAGGCATATAATGTTGCATTTATTAAAAATTATCTTATATTACATAAACAAGATTACACAAAATAATATTTCACAAATAAGAAACTAATCAACCAGCAACTACATTCTCTAATTCTAGATACCACATACAAGGTTCAAGAGATTTAATTTTATTCTCTACAAGATGGGTAAAATGAAAAGATTTAAATGTGTGTTCTTTTAATAATATGCGTAAGGCATGAAAGAAGACTAAAACAAAAAAGAAAATAAAATCATTTCAGAGAAAACAAGAAAGAGAAAAAAATTCATAGGAAACCCATATAGAGAACTGAAGAAGAAGAAAAAGGTAACAAATAATAATAAAGAAAGGTGGGGAAAAAAGAAAGAATGGCGAAAAAATGAGAAAAAAGTGGATACAAAGGGAATAAGGAGAATATTTAAAAAAACAAAGTTGAAAGATCATTAGGCCAATTAGCCATTACATTTTGTTACGTGGGCCATTTTAATAGTTTTTTCAGCTGTGACGCGCTCCTAAGCGTGTTATTACACACGTTATGCCAGGTAAGCAACGAGGGGTTTAAATATGTAGAGCAATATAATTCCAAGAGTTTTGGGTAAATCGAAAAATTTAAGTAGGAAATTGACAAAAATATGATAGCTTAAAGGGTTTTAGGGCATTAACTTCTAGTATTTATACTGTTAGTTATCCATAACAAGTTGTTTTCCCCCCTTAATTTAAGTGGTTTGACATTGCTTTTTTTTTATTTTTACAGAGTTGGGATAGATTTGCCGTCAATAGAAGTAAGATTTGAGCATCTAAACATTGAGGCAGATGCATATATAGGAAGCAGAGCTTTGCCTACATTTACCAACTTCTTGACTAATTTTCTTGAGGTAAAAATCTAAAAGAAAATCTTGATTTCAAGTCTCAAAATGGTGTTTGTAACTAACATTTTCTTCTTCTTTTGGGGTTCATTAGACAATGTTGACCTCTCTCCATATCCTATCAAATCAAAAGAGGAAACTCACTATTCTTGATGATGTGAGTGGTATCATTAAGCCTTGCAGAATGACTTTGCTTTTAGGACCTCCAGGTTCTGGTAAAACTACTCTTTTATTAGCTTTGGCTGGAAAGCTTGACCCTGCCCTTAAGGTAAGACCACTAGCTTTACGTATCAAACGGATTTAAGTTATATATATATGTTTGCAATAAATTTTCGTCAGAAAAATAAACTGCATTCACAAAATAAGTGAAAAATATTTTTACTAATAGATTGTGAGTACAATTCCGCTTCTCCCTTGATTGTTCTCTCCTGATTATCTCCGTGATTCGAGGGCTGGAGCTGCGTATTTCTCGAACGTAGGATGATGCGGACGTTCATGGATTTATTTGATATCCATGAAGTATGTTGTGGATCTTCTTGAAGTATATGATTGTCAAGAAGTATCCGGCCATATTTCGATCTCTTTGTGAATATCTCAAGAGTTTATGGGATTTTGAGACGCCTCCTCAAGGGAATATGTATCCCTTTATATAGGTGTGAGTTAGGGTTTAGGGTAGAGTAACCTCCAAGAAATCCTAATAGACTCCTAGGATTTCAAGAGTCATGTAGTATCTTTAATTTAGGATTTGGCTTGATCCCTTAAAATTTCAATGTCTACAAATGCCTCCTACTTCAAGGTTTGTCGGGGTATAGGCTTGCCGAAACTTAAGACGAGGCTTGAAGTAATCGACCATCGCAAAACTTGAGTTTTCGATTTACAGGAGGAAGAGATGAAGGGCATAACCGGTCCCACTGGGCGTGCCAATTTGTTTGCAACCAACAAATTATATGTCATACAAAAATAAATTGTGACCACAATATAAATATGAAGAAACGTAATTTTATTGATAAAATGATGCGGGTACAATTCTGTTTGTTTCCTTGATTCTTCTATCTAGATCTTTCTCCGTGATTCTAGGGCTTAACCAGCGTATTTCTCGAACGTAGGATGATGCGAACTTCCTTAGGATATATTTGATCTCCAGGAAAAGGAAGAACAGCCGTTGATCACTTCAGTGGCTTTGAGAAAGACAATATTTGATGTCTTTGATCTCTTCATGAATATTCCATACCTCTTCAAGGGAATATGTATCCCTTTATATAGGTGTGAGTTAGGGTTTAGGGTAGAGTAACCTCCAAGAAACCCTAATAGACTCCTAGGATTTCAAGAGTCCTGTAGTATCTTTAATTTAGGATTTGGCTTGATACCTTAAAATTTCGATGTCTACAATATACTGGTAGTGTCCTAGGCTACGAATTAATGCTGTTACAATAGACCGTGAGTGCATGGAACTTAAACTCAAAACTAAATGTGTGTAATGAAACAACAAATTCTAATTTTCTGAATATTTTTCGGTTGTGAAAATCAGGTTACTGGGAAAGTGACCTATAATGGACATGAAATGAATGAATTTGTGCCACAAAGAACTGCTGCTTATATTAGCCAGCATGATTTACACATTGGAGAAATGACTGTGCGAGAAACCTTGGAATTCTCTGCCAGATGCCAGGGAGTTGGCTCTCGTTATGGTTAGCATTTTTTTTTAAATTTTAATTTTTTTTCCAATCTCTTCTTCAATAAAATAATATTCTGTGTTGAAATTTAACACACATAGTTTGATGTTTCTTGGATAATTTGCAGATATGTTGGCTGAACTATCAAGAAGAGAGAAGGCAGCTAAAATCAAGCCAGATCCTGATATTGATATCTTCATGAAGGTAAAAGACTAGCATTTAAGGAAACAGCAATACCAAAGCCAATGCTTCTGACTTTAATTGTTTTGTGGCAACATAGGCAGCAGCAACACAGGGACAAGAAGCCAATGTGGTTACAGATTATGTTCTTAAGGTAATAAAAATTATGTCCAATAATTTCTCTTCATTTTCCATAATGAAAAGGTAGAAGAAATTTGATAACTAAGTGATTTGAATATTCCATCTGCAGCTGTTGGGGCTGGATATTTGTGCCGATACTTTGGTGGGAGATGAAATGATAAGGGGTATTTCAGGAGGACAAAAGAAGCGTGTGACAACAGGTGAAATGCTCGTTGGACCGTCAAAGGCACTTTTCATGGATGAAATCTCGACTGGATTGGATAGTTCTACCACTTACTCCATTGTGAACTCTCTAAGACAATCTGTGCAAATCTTGAATGGAACTGCTGTGATATCTCTCCTGCAGCCAGCACCCGAGACCTACAACTTGTTTGATGACATTATTCAGTTATCAGAAGGGCAAATTGTCTATCAGGGCCCTCGAGAGGATGTCCTTGGCTTCTTCGAGTCCATGGGTTTCAAATGCCCAGATAGAAAAGGCGTGGCCGACTTCTTGCAAGAAGTATGTCTTACAATGGCCTACAACTAATAAATTTGAGAGGCAATTTCCCTTCTGATGGTGCAAATTTAAACTCTTTGCAGGTGACATCGCAGAAGGATCAGCAGCAATATTGGGTGCGGAGGGATGAGACTTACAGGTTTATCACATCAAAAGAATTTTCTGAGGCATATCAATCATTCCATGTTGGGAGGAAAATTGGGAATGAGCTTGCAGCTTCATATGACAAGAGCAAAAGCCATCCTGCTGCTTTGACAACTCAAAAGTATGGTATAGGGAAGAAACAACTCTTAAAGATCTGCACTGAAAGAGAACTCCTGCTAATGAAGAGGAACTCATTCGTTTACATCTTCAAGTTCACTCAGGTATTAATTTATTCCATTAAATTTACATAATATTTGCTCGCAAGTACTAATGCCTCTTTGTTTTGATATGTTTTCAGCTTTCAATTGTGGCACTCGTGACAATGACCCTCTTTTTCCGAACTGAGATGCCTCGTGATAGTATGGATGATGGAGGAATATATGCTGGTGCCCTCTTTTTTGCGGTCGTTATGAATATGTTTAATGGAATGTCTGAGATCGCCATGACAATTTATAAACTTCCTGTCTTCTACAAGCAAAGGGACCTTCTCTTTTTCCCTTCATGGGCTTATGCAATTCCCTCATGGATACTCAAAATCCCTCTAACATTTGTTGAAGTTGGTCTATGGGTGTTCCTCACTTACTATGTCATTGGATTTGATCCGAGTCCTGCAAGGTAAGGGAAGAAAAAGATGATGCAAAATGAAGATCAAGTTACCTTCATTAGTTACTAAACAAGTCTATTTTTGCAGATTGTTCAAACATTTCTTGCTACTCATATTAGTAAACCAGATGGCATCAGGATTGTTCCGCTTCATTGGTGCACTTGGACGGACCATGGGAGTAGCTAATACATTTGGAACATTTGCTCTCCTTTTACAATTTGCATTGGGTGGATTCGTTCTTTCACAAGGTATTTTTGGAGACTTTTATGTTTGTAGAAGCTTTTGCCTTGCTTAAGCCGACTAATGTTAATAGTCTATGGCTAATGTTGTAGATAATGTAAAGAAATGGTGGATATGGGGTTACTGGTCTTCACCATTGATGTATTCTACGAATTCAATTTTTGTGAATGAATTTGATGGGAAAGAGTGGAAAGAAATATCACCAAATGGAATTGAGCCACTTGGAGTTGCAGTAGTAAGATCTCGAGGGTTCTTTCCATATGCATACTGGTACTGGATAGGTATTGGTGCACTTATTGGATTCACAATTGTCTTTAACATCTGCTACAATCTTGCACTTGCTTATCTTAACCGTGAGTATTTCTCGAGTTTCTCCATTTAATTTTCCCTAAGGCGAAAAGAACGAATTTATAGTATGATTATCTACAGCATTTGGCAAGCCGCAAGCTATGATAACAAAAGATAGTGAAGATGCCAAAACAACTAGCAATGAGAAAGAACAGTCCAATAGTGAGGGTCAGAGTAAGAAAAAGGGAATGGTTCTTCCATTTGAACCGCATTCCATCACCTTTGATGAAGTTATATACTCTGTCGACATGCCTCAGGTAACTAGCCAGGAATTGTTAGTGAGCAGTAACTACTGATGCTAATTTGCATTTCAATAATATGTTCAGGAAATGAAAGATCAGGGCGCCACTGAAGATAGATTGGTACTTCTGAAGGGTGTCAGTGGAGCTTTCCGGCCCGGTGTTTTGACAGCTTTGATGGGAGTTAGTGGGGCTGGAAAAACAACATTAATGGATGTATTGGCTGGAAGAAAAACTGGAGGATATATTGAGGGTAGTATCAAGATCTCTGGTTATCCTAAGAAGCACGAAACATTCGCACGTATATCTGGATACTGTGAGCAGAATGATATCCATTCACCTTATGTTACAGTTTATGAGTCATTAGTATACTCAGCTTGGCTGCGTTTACCTCATGATGTTGATGAAAAGACTAGAAAGGTTTGCAACTGTTGAAAATTTCCTCCCATAACATGAATCTCTCGCCCAAAAATCAGTTAAACACAACAAAGAAGGTAGAAATCATATGACATTTCCTATTTATTATCCTTGTGCAGATGTTTGTTGACGAAGTTATGGAACTTGTGGAGCTTACAATATTAAGATCAGCGTTAGTTGGTTTGCCAGGAGTCAGCGGTCTCTCGACTGAGCAACGCAAAAGGTTGACCATTGCAGTGGAATTAGTAGCCAACCCCTCTATTATTTTCATGGATGAACCAACTTCAGGGCTGGATGCAAGGGCTGCTGCGATTGTGATGAGAACTGTTAGGAACACTGTTGACACAGCACGAACTGTTGTTTGTACCATCCATCAACCTAGTATTGACATTTTTGAATCATTTGATGAGGTGAATTTAATACCTTTTTGAACTCTATCAAGCTAATAATGTGTTCTTCTTTCTGTTTTGACATTGCATACTAATATAAACACCATTCTTTGCAGCTATTTCTAATGAAACGAGGAGGACAAGAGATATATGTTGGTCCATTGGGTCACCGTTCTTGCCATTTGATCAAATACTTTGAGGTAAACTGTCTATGTGATAAAGAGCTTTCCTTTTTTCGATTAAATACTAGACTAATATTTTTTGCATTCAGTCAATGTCTGGGGTAAGTAAAATACAAGATGGTTACAATCCAGCCACTTGGATGTTAGAAGTCACAACCTCGGCTCAGGAAATGATGTTGGGGGTTGATTTTGCTGATTTATACAAGAGATCAGATCTTTACAGGAGGAATAAAGTGTTGATTAGTGAACTCAATGCACCTCGTCCAGGTACGAAAGACCTGCATTTTGACAGCCAATACGCACAGCCATTTTGGACCCAATGTATGGCTTGCCTTTGGAAGCAACACTGGTCATACTGGCATAATCCTGCTTATACAGCAATCAGATTTCTTTTTACAATCTTCGTCGCCTTGGCCATAGGGACAATGTTCTGGGATCTTGGTACTAAAATGTAAGTAAAAACCTATGAGACGAAACAAGCAATCATATAATCTGGAAAGTACTAAATTCTTAATGCTAAAAGCTATTTTTTTGTCACAGGGGTAACAACCAAGATCTATTTAACGCTATGGGATCAATGTATGCTGCTGTTCTCTTTCTTGGTTTTCAAAATACAGCATCAGTGTTGCCCGTTGTAGCTGTTGAGCGTACAGTATTTTACAGAGAAAGAGCTGCTGGAATGTATTCTGCCTTCCCCTATGCCTTTGGACAAGTGAGCAGAGAATTTATCTTCTTAATAGCCAATTTCTGGTAAAGAAGACTAGATATAAATATTTTAATATCTTGCAGGTTTTCGTTGAAATGCCATATGTCTTTGTGCAAGCGGTTTTCTATGGCGTTATTGTCTATGCTATGATTGGATTTGAATGGACAGTAACCAAGTTCTTTTGGTACTTGTTCATCACGTATTTCACTTTCTTGTACTTCACCTTTTATGGTATGATGAGCGTAGCTGTTACTCCAAATCAAAATATTGCGCAAATTGTCATTGTCTTCTTCATTGCCATGTGGAATCTTTTTTCAGGATTCATTATTCCGCGGCCTGTAAGTTCTTGAAACACTTCCATTTTTGTTACATTAAAATTTAATCAATGTAGAGCTCGAAAATGACATGTTTTCATTAAAAACAGCGTATTCCTATATGGTGGAGATGGTACTATTGGGCTTGTCCTGTTGCTTGGACCTTGTATGGTCTGGTTGTGTCACAATTTGGTGACCTCCGAAACAAAATTAATGACGACGAAACGGTGGAACAATTCTTGAGACGTTACTTCGGGTTCAAGCATGATTTTCTTGGAGTAGTTGCAGTTGTGACTGTTGCATATCCTGTTCTTTTTGCCTTCATATTTGCTTTGGCTGTTAAAGTATTCAATTTCCAGAGAAGATAGAAGATGATACCTGTTAAAGATCTATATGAAGAAAACTGAGGAAGAGATTGACTATAAAACTATTGTATACAGGTTATGTATTGGTTTTGTTTGTTGTTAATGGTAATATTTACATTGTTACCAAAAAAAAAATATTATGTGTAAAAGATATAGTATGTCTTATCTATTGATTATTGTAAACAACAAGTCTGACTATATTTCACCATGTCTTTGATTCAATGAACTCCCCTTATCTAGGAGGGTCTATAAGTGGATAGGAGAAAAGACTAGGGCTCTATGCTATGTAAACAAGAGGTGAACCCACTAATTATAGACTCTTTATATTCTGTTTAGGCTTTTGTATATCTTTAAATGATGTAGTGTAGACTAAAAAACTTTTAGACTGAATAGGTGTAGAGCTAGGGGTTTAAAAAATTGTTTATCTATATATATAAACTATTCGGTGTATCCAAAATCCTTTTGAACTATATCACCCTTCATATAAAAACCCCCTCATTGCATTCTGAGAGGCGCGTCTAGCACACGTTCCTAATTGTCTAAAAAACGTGTCATGTAGCACTACACGTGGCTATTTAATCAGCCTAAAACCCGCCTAAACTATCACTTTTTGCCAGTTACCTACTTAATCTATCTGGTGTCCCCAAAAACCCCCCTGAACTATATTCCCCTCTATATTAAAACCCCATGTTGGACTTTTAAAGGTACGTTTGTCTAACTATGTTAGCTTATAGTTTGTACAAGTTTTTTATATAGTTTACTCAGATGTATTACTCTCGAATGATAGCAATTTTGACCAAAATAATATTTAATGTACTGTTTAATTTTAGGTTTAATTGTGATTGTGCTTTACGCTAGAATTCAATTGACAAGTCCTTATTTATTTACTTTGTAAAGTTAAAATATAAATAAAGGCATATGGTGTTGCATTTCTTAAAAGTCATCTTATATTACATAAAAAAGATTACACAAAATAAAATTTCGCAAATAAAAAATTAATTGCCAAGCAATTACATTTTCTAATTCCAGATTACATAAAGAAGGTTCAAGAGATTCAACTTTATTATTCGCAAGATTTTTAGTTTAATAAGAAGATTTCAATTGGTATTCTTTCAACAATATGTGTAAGACATAAAAGAAGATTAAAATAAGAAAGAGAATAAATAATTTCAGACGAAACAAGAGAGGGGGAAATTTTTCCAGAGGAAACCCATATGGTGAACTGAAGAAAAAGGTTAAAAAATGAAGAAGAAGGTGAAAACAAAGAAGAAAGGTGAAAAAATAAGGAAGAATGGTAAAATATGATGAAGAAAGGCGGATATAATTGAAATAAGGAAAATATCTATTATAAATAAATAAATCTAAAAGAGGGCCAGGCTAATTAGCCATTATTTTCTGTTAGGTGGGCTATTTTGATGGTTTTTTTCAGCTACCACGCGCTCCCAATTGAGTATCTACACACATTATGTCAGGTCAGCAGTGAGGGGATTTTAATTCGAAGGACAATATAGTTCGGGGGATTTTGAGGACATTGAATAGTTTAAGTAACAAACTGATAAAGTAACAGTGATAAAGTTACTTAAACTGAATAGTTTAAGTAACAGTTTTCTATTGTTGATAGTAATACTGGGCCATATCTGACCACGTATGCCCGTTCTTAACATTGTGGCTGATGGTTTTAATGCCGTACTTTTTAATTAATTTGTTTATTCAACAATACATAATTAGAGAAAGCATTTTTGCAAAATAAAATTTCCTAGAACGAATATATCTATTATTCAATACTCCGGCTTCTTAAAAATTTAGCTTTTTTTTGCTGCTATATAATAACTCCTTTAGCTTCAAACTTTAATAACACTCTAACTTAGGCTTAGGCAGTGGACACAAGAAGAAAACTCAAGGCTTTTTCATAAATAGATCTAACTAAACATCAGTATAAGTAAAAAAAAAAAGAGCTAGAATTTCTTGCATTTTGATTGAGTGGTTATTGGTTCAAAATGGAACCAGAAAATATAAGTGATATAAGAGGGAGTAGTTTAAGAGGAAGCTTAAAGTTAAGTGTGAATAGTACTAAATCTATATGGAGGAACAATGGTATGGAGATTTTTAGTCGTTCATCAAGACATGAAGATGATGAAGAGGCTCTTAAATGGGCAGCTCTTGAAAAACTTCCAACATTTGATCGTTTAAGAAAAGGTCTCTTATTTGGATCTCAAGGTGCTGCTGCTGAAGTTGATATACATGATCTTGGTTCTCAAGAAAGAAAGAACTTGCTTGAAAGGCTCGTGAAAATCGCCGATGAGGATAATGAGAAGTTCTTGTTGAAACTCAGGCAAAGAATTGACACGTAAGTGAATGCATCTTTTTGTCTCTCCCTCTACGCATGTTGTCTTCGACAGACTAAAAAGATATGTGTAGGCGATACATATTAATATTAGGAATCTTCAGGACTTGTTATTGATTTATAATATTTAACTGGTACAGGCTTAAATAGAGCGCATGGACAATGATAATTCATATAGTCGATCCGACTTGCTTACAATTGAGACATAGTAGTAGTTATAATGTTGATTATTCATGACAAGTTGTTTCTCCCCTTAATTAAAGTGGTTTGACATTGCTTTCTTTCTTTTTACAGAGTTGGGATTGATTTGCCATCAATAGAAGTAAGATTTGAGCATCTAAACATTGAGGCAGATGCATATATAGGAAGCAGAGCTTTGCCTACATTTACCAACTTCTTGACTAATTTTCTTGAGGTAAAAATCTAAAAGAAAATCTTGATTTCAAGTCTCAAAATGGTGTTTGTAACTAACATTTTCTTCTTCTTTCGGGGTTCATTAGACAATGTTGACCTCTCTCCATATCCTACCAAATCAAAAGAGGAAACTCACTATTCTTAATGATGTGAGTGGTATCATTAAGCCTTGCAGAATGACTTTGCTTTTAGGACCTCCAGGTTCTGGTAAAACTACTCTTTTATTAGCTTTGGCTGGAAAGCTTGACCCTGCCCTTAAGGTAAGTTAGTTATCATTTTTACCAAGCTACCAATTAATGCTATCAAAATCGTCGGTGCATAGAATTTAAACTCCAAACCAAACGTATGTAATGAAACAACAATTCTAATTTTCTGAAATTATTTTGGTTGTGGAAATCAGGTTACTGGGAAGGTGACCTATAATGGACACGAAATGAATGAATTTGTACCACAAAGAACTGCTGCTTATATTAGTCAGCATGATTTACACATTGGAGAAATGACTGTGCGAGAAACCTTGGAATTCTCTGCCAGATGCCAGGGAGTTGGCTCTCGTTATGGTTAGTATTTGCTGTTGAGATTTAACTAACATAGATATATCGACTGATGTTTCTTGGAACAATTTTGTAGATATGTTGGTTGAACTGTCAAGAAGAGAGAAAGCAGCTAAAATCAAGCCAGATCCTGATATTGATATCTTTATGAAGGTAAAAGACTCTTACTAAATCATGTTTAGATGTTGTTGGGCTAAAATAGCCCAATGATATTCTTAACATGGTGTGATATTGTCCGCTTTGGGTCAAGCCCGCATGATTTTTCCTAAAAGGTCTCATACCATTAAGAGATCCCTATATTTATATGTAGGCTCCCAATCTTTTCAGCTGCCAATGTGAGACTTAGTTCGTACACCTAACAATCTCCCCTCAAACTAAGTTCCACGTGGCTCACTAACACAATACACGGGTATCCCCCTCGCCAAGTTCTAAGTGGCCCATTACCACGATCCACACGTCAATTTTCGAGATTCATCGTATGTCACCCACATCATCAGAGTAACTATGGCAACCGAAGCCTGCAACTAGTTTATTCTTGTGTGCACATCTCCAAGCTCGTAAGGGTAATCGAACCGAGCCCCGCAATATCACTCTGTCATCGTCATACTCGTCACGCTGAACCTAGACTTGCTACCTGTTGTTGGGATAAAATTGTCACGACCCAAGCTCATGGAACGTATTGTCCGCTTTGGACCTAGGCCCGCACGATTTGTCTTTTTGGGCTACGCTACCTCGAGCCCCAAAAGCGTGCGTACCATGTTAACTTGTGACATTCCTTATATAGCTCTTCACTTTCCTCTCCCATTTCGATGTGGGATTCGCCTAAGGTGACATGTGCACCCTTTCTTCATAAGCTTGCCAACCTAAAAGCCTGCCAGTCCTGCTTGACCCGCCTCATCAGCCTGCCTTCTGTCAAGGGCATCACAAAAATGCCTTAATGATACTCTTAACATGGTGTGATATTATCCGATTTGGGCCAAACCCACATGGTTTTTCCCAAAAGGTCTCGGACTATTAAGAGATCCCTACAAGTTATATATAGGCTACTAATTTTTTCAGCTACTAATATAGATCGCACATATAACAGATACGAGCTAGTTAATATTCTCCCCACCCACCTTTAAAGACCAGATACGATATTACAACGGAGAAACGGTTTGAAACAAATTGAAGAATAGTAGAAACGGTAAAGGTTTTAGAACAAAGGAAAAAAGAAAACAAGTCTACTAATTCCTAATAAAAGAGCAATCATAATACCTTTCTGAAAAGAGGAAAAGGAAAAGACAATACCAAAAATTAGCTGGTATCCCTGTATGCAACTTGTTAGAAATTGAACCAAGTTGAAAACTTGCTTTCCCGAAGGCAAATGCTTATAACCACAATTGTTTTGTGACAACGTAGGCAGCAGCAACAGAGGGACAAGAGGCCAATGTTGTTACAGATTATGTTCTTAAGGTAATAAAAATTGTGTCCAATAATTTTCTCTTCATTTTCCATAATGAAAAGGTAGAAGAAATTTGATAACTAAGTGATTTGTGTATTCCGTCTGCAGCTGTTGGGGCTGGATATTTGCGCAGATACTATGGTGGGAGATGAAATGATAAGGGGTATTTCAGGAGGACAAAAGAAGCGTGTGACAACAGGTGAAATGCTCGTTGGACCGTCAAAGGCACTTTTCATGGATGAAATCTCTACTGGATTGGATAGTTCTACCACTTACTCCATTGTGAACTCTCTAAGACAATCTGTGCAAATCTTGAATGGAACTGCTGTGATATCTCTCCTGCAGCCAGCACCCGAGACCTACAACTTGTTTGATGACATTATCCTATTGTCAGATGGGCATATAGTTTATCAGGGTCCTCGAGAGGACGTACTTGGCTTCTTCGAGTCCATGGGTTTCAAATGCCCAGATAGAAAAGGCGTGGCCGACTTCTTGCAAGAAGTATGTCTTACAATGGCCTACGACTAATAAATTTGAGAGGCAATTTCCCTTCTGATGGTG